AGCGTAAATCGATGAGCTCCTGCATCGTGTCGTGCGCCTCTGTGTTGTGCGTGAAACGGCCAGTCGCGAGCATGGCCTGTTCGAACGTCGCGTAGGACCTACCCAAGTGGGTGCGGCAATCTTGGAAAGACCGTTTCGGGTAGTGCAACGGCATGTGGCGGAGGTCGATTTTCTCTTTCTGCTGGGGGAACTTCATCTCCAATCGGCAGAGCGGCGGCTGGCCGCGCATGCGTCGATAGACGAAATGCCGTTGGTCGATGGGGGCAAGATCGGTCCAGACGCCTCCGTCGAGGTCAGGGCCCCTCTCGGCAGGGTGCAGAGACGGGTCGTTCAGGGAAGCAGGTCGAGTCGTGGCCGTCTGGAACTGCTCGAAGTACTCCGCGTACAGCAAGCCGTCGAAAACGGGTCCTGCCGGGCGAGCGAAGTACCGCATGAGGGCGGAGAAAGCGGCGTCGAGTGCACGTTGCTCCGAGCCGTCCGTGTAGGATACCCAATCTTCTCCGGGGAGATGGACGGGTAGGCACACGACAGTGGGAGTCCGCGTGTACGTTTCGTAGCCGAATATGCGCCACATGCATTCGGTCGCGCATAGGTTTCTGCCTCGGAGCCAGTCTGCAATCTCGTCGTCTGAACGATCCGGGGGGGGCATGTCGTACATTGTGTAATCGGGCCCCTTGAAAATGTACTTGTAGAGGTACTCGAAGAGGTTCACGTGCCCCGCGAATTTCACGTTTGCGTGCCCGCCCCACAGGAGCAGAAGTGCGCCGTTGTACTCCACGATGAGTTGGTTGCAGCAGAGAGCGCGCCCCCCGAATGCTGCGCGACCAGAGCTGCAGTTGGGACAGTGGCCGCCGCCATCCCGCCGTTTGTGTAAAGGGTGCCCGCGCCCGTCAAACTCGGTCATGGGTCGGAAGGGCCAGGGGCAGCCCTTGTTGCAGGGGTCGGCAGGGTCGTGCGGGTGGCAACCGCGATTGCACTTGTGCACCATGTGTCGGAGGACGAGGTCACGGAGCCGGCCGCTGGCACGAGGCAGCTCGCACGAGATGAAGGCGTCCACTTCCTCGGCGCTGGCGGGGGGGCTGGCCGACCCAATGACGATGTGCGCGTGGGGGGGGCCTCTCTTCTGGCACTCGATGACTCGCATGAAGTACTTGGTTGTCCCGCAGAACTCGTGCTGGAGGAATTTGACTATGAGGTGCAGTCGGGCGTGAAACACTCGGACCACTATGTCTGGTCTGTCTGCGTGGGTCTGGCCGCCCTCGAGTTCCCGTTCAATCTCCGGCCAATGGGGGTTGCATGTGAGTGTGATGAACCAAGTCGGGGCGCCCAGGCGGCGGGCGGTCTCCAGCGCGTCAATCCGCAGCCGGCGCAGATGGCGGGGCGACCCTTGCACGGTAGATGGCAAATAATGCCGCTGCGCCGCCATGGGCCCACCCGAAGGATCGGGAGGCGCGTTGGCCAGCATTTCGCAAAGCTGCGAGCGTTTCGCTAAAGACGTTCTCTGCAGAGCCTTGACATGTTGCAAGCGCTCGTCTTCCATCCGGCAGAACATGTTGATGACCCACTCGTTGAAAAGCCGGCCAGACAAATGCATGTGCGGTAGTCGGAGCGCCTGCTGACGGTACCACCACATGTGTGTGATCTTGTTGTGGTCAGGCGTGTTCAGGTCTGGAGCCCAGCCTCTGCCGCCGCGAGGATACCACAGGGGGTAGGAAAGCGCTTCGTACAGCTCGCTGAGTGGCGGGATGTAGTCGTACTGGTTGGTTTTGTGCAGACGGAAGTAGACGGAGCGAGGCGACGTACCAGCGCCGCCCGCAGAATCGAGTATAGCAGCAACCTCTTGAATGCCTTCGTCCCACTCAAGCCGCAGAGCAGCGTCGGGGCAGCGTGACGTAGTGGTGCTCAACTTGTGGATGGCCGCCATGCACGGGTTCCCGTGGAGGACGTGGCGCTCGAGGGCACGGACAATGTTGGGTTTCAGCTGCAAACGTTCCGCCGTTTGCGACCGAAGTTGGGGGTCGACGACAATGTACTGCACGGCGTTGGCTCCCTCCGGCGTCCATGTTTTCCTGTACATTGCCCCGTGGATGCGCATGAAGGAAGGTTTGTTGGGCGTAAAACTGGTTTCCCGCTCTGTGGTGCTGGACTGGATGTCGTGCACGGCGAGCCCGAAGAGGTTGTTGTATGCCCGAGAGTGTGCGCTGAATCCGTCGCAGCGGTATGTTTGCAGCAGCGCAGGCCCAGGCGCCGCGAAGTATCTCGTGAAATCGATTGCGCGCTTGCCAAACTGACAGCAGAAGCCCGCGTATTCCCCAGAGAATCGGGCGACGCCACAGCGAGCGCAAATGCAATCCCGAGGCCCCAACGTTATGGATTGAAGGGCCGCAGGCGCGCGGCATACATGGGCGGGCTTGATGCAGGACGAGCACGCCCGCGCACGGCTGGGCGCTTTGAGCTGGCTGGGCGTGTAGTGAGTTTTATCTTGGAGTTCCCCGCAGCGTGAGCAAGAGAGGAGCTCTTGCTAGGGGCGTCCGCCGAGGTACAGGTGCCGCAAACACGGGCGTGAACTGGCTTTTCCAGCATAGTCTTGCTAAAGAGCCTGCGGTCTCGAAGCTTCCCGCAGCGAGCGCGTTGAAAGGTCCCTTGTTTGGTCGTTGCTCTGGATTGCGTTTCCCGTAGGCGGGCGCGCGATATGCAGGCTCGATTGGATTGCAGCAGTTGGGTAGGGGAGTAAGCGTTTGAAGGAAGACAGTTACCACAATCGAAACAGGTGAATACCGACATGCTCGAGGTGGTATGCGAGTGTCGGCACGGGAAAAAGTTAAAGCCGAAGGCTACGGATGCATGTACACAACGAGCGTGGAGGTAAAAGAACACGGGCTCTGCTGTAAGAAATACGCACGTGGGACACCGAAATCGACATAATGCAGGTTTCGCGACGCACGTGCCTCACGGGAATGTCGCGAAACTGGGATTCGGAGATTCTGGGCCCTCTTGGAGCTCTTTTGGATGGTTTTGGGGCCCTGTTGGGCCGTCATCGGAACTGAGGGATTTGAGGGGCCTTCTGAAGCTTTCTGCCCTTTGGAAGTTCCATTGGCTTTTTTTGAACGACTTCCATGACCGTGTGGCGTATCTCTTGGGAGCCTTTTGGGGGCCTGTGGGGATCGCGTGGTACGCCTCTCGGGCTTTTCTGGGAAGCTGGTGCGAAGCCTCTTGGGAGTCGATTTGAAGCCTCATGGGGTCTTTTTGGGGCTTGGGGCTCCTGGGGGCCGATTGGAGCCTCTCGGAGCCTCGTGGGGGTGTGTTGGGGCGCCTCTTGGGGTTTTCTTAGGCCTTCTTGGGGCTCTCGTGGACCGGAAAGCTAGATCTTGAGATGTTTGGTCGCCCGCTGGGGCCTTCTTTGAGGCTTTATCGGGGCCTTGTTGCCCTCTTGGGCGCTTCTTGGGCCGTCTCGGTGCCCGCTTGGGCCGTGTTGGGGCTGTGTAGGGGGCCTCTTGGACCGTGTTGCGGCGGTATTGGGAGCCTCTTGGGCCGTCTTGGAACGTCGGGAAGCCGAAAAGGCGAGAAAGCCAAAAACTTCGAAAAACACCATGGGGAATCAACAATTGTGGCCTCTTGGGGCGTCTTCGGAAGCGTCTTGGAAGGCCTTTTGGAGCGTCTTGTAGGCTCTGGGGCCGTTCTGTGAGCTTCCCGCTAGCCCACTGCGGAGGCTTCGCAAGGACATTAGGGACGTCCAGAGATGCAGAAGGCCGGCCAGGGGCGTCCAGGAGGCCCGGAAGGCTCGGGAGACCCCCTTGCCAGGCGTCCAAGGGGCCCCAAAAGCGCCAGATTCCGGGGGTCCGATTTCCCGGGGGGGGGTTCCCACCCCCCCGGATTGTAAAAATATAGAAAAGGGAATATATACAGACAGTGCGGCCGCTGCGCTCGGCGTGGTACCAGGTCGGAGACAGGGTAGATCCGTCTACGGTCTGTTCCCGTTCTAATCCAGGCGTCCCCTATAATGTGGTCGGGAAGATGAACAACGATCGCGTTCGGATGTTCGCACACGGTTCGTCAAGGCTTCCGAGGCTCGCGAACTCCAGGGCCCCCAAGGGCCTTGTCCACGGCCGCTCGGTTGAGGGAAGACAGAGATGTTTAAAGCGAGCGATTCGTCAACAGTTCGAGAACACATGTTCGCGAACGACGTTCAGGTCAGCCCTAGGGCTTGCTTCTGCTCCAAAGCGGTGCCAGGAAAAAACGCCGAAGCTGGCACGGCACGAAGCTGCCGTACGCGTATGCGGCACGCGGCGTTCTTTGCCTTATCCGCGTATAGCCCCAGATTGGGCGCGGTTTTAATGGAGTTCGGTCCGGGTCGGCGGTGCGAAGGGGGATGTCTTCTGGGAAGGCTATGGGCTTCTCCGAGACTTCCTCATCGCCGTCGGAGGAGCTCTCTCGGAAACCTCCGAGCTCTTCGTACTCCTCGCCCTCCTTTCCCTCCTCCTCGTCCTCCTCCTCGTCCTCCTCTTCCTCCATCCCCCTCCTTCCCCCTCCTCCTCACCCTCCTCCTCCGCTTCCTCCTCCTCCTCCTCCTCCTCCTCCTCTTCCTCCTCCTCCTCCTCCTCCTCCTCCTTCACCCACTCCCCCTCACCCTGCCCCTCCTTCTCCTTCTCCCCCTCATCCCCCCCCTTTTATTCCTCCCCTTCCTCCTCCTCCTCCTCCTCCTCCTCCTCCTCCTCCTCCTCCTCCTCCTCTCCCTCCCCTCCCCCTCCTCCCGTCTCCTCCTCTCCTCCTCCTCCTCCTCCTCCTTCCTCCTCCTCCTCCTCCTGCTCCTCCTCCTCCCCCTTTCTTCCTCCCCTTCCTCCTCCTCCTCCTCCTCCTCCTCCTCCTCCTCCTCCTCCTCATCCTCATCCTCATCCTCGCCCTTATCCTCCCCCCCCCTCCGTCTTCCCGCCCCTCGTCCGTCTCCTCCTGATCCTCACCCCGTGTCCTCGTCGGTCCGGCGCGCCCCCCCACGCCCGCAGCATCATGAGAATGCACCGGACCAAGTTGCCGCAGACAATGCGGAGCCTTGGCGACCCGTGGGCTGTGGGTTGTCAACTTGGACACACAGCGGAGGTCAGGATCAGATGAGGGACATGTGCTGATCCCGCTGCTCGTCCTGGAGAGCCCTCGTCACCACGGCTGGATCATCTTCGAAATGCTAGTCAGAATGCGCCACAGGAGATGTCCGGGGAGTAGCGGTTTCGGTACCTTGCTGTCTCTCCAGGGGATGAGGAGTAGGGCGGCAAGGCTGGATGAGGATGGGCAAATGGAGGCTTCAGGTTTGCCTGTGGTGATCGCCATGATGAGCTCTGTTGTTGGAAGCTGGCTAGAAGTGTCGATAATCGATTGCGAAAGCGGTTGCGGAAACGATTTTAGGCCCTTGAAGTTGTCCTCAATATTGTGAATGGGGGGTGGGAACAGGTGCTGGTTGTTTCATCCATGAGTCCACAGCCCCACACATTTAAATTACGTCTGTTGACGAGAAAGGTTAGGGGAGGGCGAGAAAGCAGAGACTGTTTTTGTTGGGGGGATGGGGGTTGGGAGGGGGCTGACAGTAAGGACGAGGAGGAGGACCGAGGGAAGAACGAGGAGGAAAGCTTGGCGTGAGGAGTGTCTCGTATACTGCATCACAAAGCGCACATCGAACATACAAGGGCCCAGTGTCCAAGGCCCACACCGGAAAACGTGGTGCAATCCCTGCGGTTCGGTTTATGGGCTGCGAGGTAATTGGTGCAGGCAGCTCATGTGGTTCAAGACACACAGGTAGATGGTTCAAGGGAGGAAAATCACCCAGACTGGCCAATTGGCGTTTACTAAACGGCCCTGGGCGTTTACTACGCAACCTTGCCCTGTTTGATTCCTTCTTTGGGTGCGTTTACTAAACGGCTTCGCGTGTCGGGGTGGTTCTTATATCGGGGCGGATTGTCTGCCCTCTCCATGGTGCAAGCTGTGCTGTGCAGCCTGTGCGCGCACTCGGAGAAGCGCCATCCGGGCGCGCGAGAGGCACACGGAGCGCCCACACAGGGGGGGGTCACCGGGCCGAACAGACCTGGAGAGGCCAGCCAGCACAAGAGGCGCGCTTTTTTGTCTTGGCATCGCTCGGACGTGTGCTCGTTTCTCGGCGAGAACCATCGAGGACCATCCTGGACCATCGAGCAAGCAAAAACACGCACGGAACAGAAACATGCACGGGAAGTGGACGTCCGAGCGACGGCAAGTGGTGTGCATTGGCCAAAGATACGGGAAGGCCACCCAGCGCACAGGGGAGCCCACGAGGTGCCCATGAGCCAGCGCACGGGACGCCGACGAGATGTTCACGCAGCGCGTTTGTTCTTTCTCCCTTCGCCTTCCTTTCTTTTTTCTCTGCTCCATGGCTGTTGCTTCCCGTTGGGGTGTCCCCTGTCCCTCAGTGGGGAAGCTGGCTATTTTCAATATCGCTGTATCTTGTCCATGGAAACCTCTGGCACCCACTATTGGCCCCAGCCGAAGAACTTGTTAACACCAGCCAAGACCTCACAGCATAATCAAGATGCCTTCGTGCAAGCTCTGTTCGGGAATTCAATTCCTTAGAAGGTACTGAGCCCAAAATTCAGACCAAGGGGGCGAGGTAAATGATGAGGAGGATGGAAAGAGGCAAGGATGATACGGAGTGAGGAGATTTGTAAGGGGAGCAGGATTCAAGCGCCCCCAAGCGTGCTGATACACGTTTAGTTTTAGTGTGGGAAGGAACGCCAGCACTGTTACTGGGCAAGGCAAGTGCGAAACGATTCAATCCATGAGCAGAGCTTAGTGGGAGCGGTAGTCATGGTTTAGCTTGGTTGCCCGCCGGAATCACATTGAGCACAGGACAAGCATAGCAGCCATGACATAACAATGTGCAAAGGGGAGTGTACATTCCAAAACTTCTTGTTGTTGCTTTCGAAGTGTCTGCAGCGTTGCAGACCTTGTACAGCCATTCGGTTCAGTGTTGCTCCAGTGTCATGGTCAGGAAGAGGTGCAAGCAGGGTGCGTAATATGGACGCCCCATGAGATTGAGTGAAGGCGATGCTTACGTGCGAAAAGAATTCAGGCACGTCAGCGATTGTTTGCGTAGATGCGTCGACTTTTTCTTCGCAATCCCCAGTGGCGCACTCGCCTGATGAGCACCATGCAGCATCCGTAATGTCGTACATTGTTGTCTTTGGCAAGAGAGACTCACCATGTGAACAGTCTTCCTTCAATCAATGCCCGTCGCGATCAGCCCTTGTGTCCACCATTGCCTCATAACAAGAGTTGTTAGTCGAGCTCGCGGGGGAGCGCCGCACGTGCGTGGTCTAATCAAGGCTGTCTGCTTCCAGTCTGCATGTAGATTACCGGTTATCCACGAAATCCGGTCGCTCACTCTTGTTTTCCGCACCCTCATCTGACAATTACCCGTGCCATCATCATTTCCAGCGTCTACGTCGATTCGGCGACGTCCTCCAGGCTGCACTACAAGCCCGAGGTAGAGGGGAAGCACAGAACCATGTTCGTCGGGGAGCGGCTTGGTGCCCTCCTTGTCCACACTTCCGTTGGGCCACAGTCAAAGTCCGGCTGCTTCTCCTGTTCATCGTCACCCTTGTCGTATTGGCCCCAGCCAAGTTTCTGTTGTTGCTCCTCTATGCAGCGCTTTTGGGGATCTTGCAGGTTGGGCGGCCATGGAGCAACATTGTTGAGTGTTGGTCGCACGGTGGACATCGGAAGCGCTGGACCTACGTGTGAGTCTTGCCACATTTGCGATACGTTGTCTTTACCGCGGTGTCTCGGCGCCACGATAGACAGGGCGGGGGCTCGATCGGTACCCTTCTTCTTCTTCGAGATCTTCTTGCCGCTCGTCCTCCCTTTTTCCCAGCATGGTCCTGGCACTACTTCCCCTGCAGGAAGGATCCTGCTGCCGATCCTCATCTCCCATCCCCCTTCAACACAGTGCTGCTCTGCTGCTGCTCCTCCTTCTTAGCCCCAGTATCGATCCGCATGCTGCTGGCGGGAACGTGGCCAGGAGGAGGATCACGAGAGCACGCAGCACGACGACGATCAGCAGCGCACTCAGATGTCCTGGCCTCCTAGTCTGCGCGCTCGAAAACGCGTGAGGGGGTAACGCGGGAACTTGGACGAGCAGGACGAGGACGAGGACGAACACGGGGCGATGTTATACAGAGGGGAGAACGCGGATAAGCAGGACGATGATGAGGAGGAAGAAATTTGCCCTGGAGGGGTGCAGGATTGACTATGGATGGAAGCTGGCGCAGGGGGGTACTCGCTCTTATCTGAGGCGGGATCAGATACCGCGCTCGCCTCGCCTTGCTGTTCCGCCTCTCCCTCCCCCTCCACACTGCGGCGGCCAGTGTTAAATGAGTGGCAGCAACTCTTGGGTCGCAGGTATCCGGGAGCTTCACGCGGCCGAAGTACCAGTGACAGTGCGTGGAAGTTTGCTGTTCGGACAGAGGCTGGCACCAGAGATCAGCGGCACCCATCACATTGATCGCCGACTACAGCAAGCACTATGAGAACAGAGCTCGAAAGTATATGTTACACGTTTGGGAGCATACGGAGGCGTTGGCTAATTTAGTGTTCAACACCTGGCGTGCGCTGACCCTCGACTGGTGCAACCCGGCACTGGTCCGCGCCAAGCTGAGTTCGGCGCCCCTTCAGGATGTGGCTGTGCAGATATAGCAATCCAAAATGCGCAAGCTGTGGACGAATCTAGCATACATGTGACGCTGCACTCGCTGGTCGACATCTCCAGCTAAATCGACTTTTCGATCTTGGGCTTTGGGAGTGCTAAACCGGCTCGCGTGGTAAGCCTTGCTGTCCAGGCAGGTCGCGCGGCTTCTTGGCCCTCGGGGCTACCTTAAACGAGAGATTCGTCATCGTCGGTAGCACGAGCGACTTCGCAAATACAGTCGCCACGGAGTTGAGACCAGCCGCCAGCACAGGCAAGGAAGTCACCACCGTGCTTTTGAGTTACTGGCCCACCACAAGTTTGTCCGCAAATATTAGGTAGAGACCGCAGGGCGGGAATCTCGGCGGGTCCCCCAAGGGAAAACGAGCTCGCATCAGCGGGTGGTCGGAGTTTCGGTAGGTTTGCGTCATGCCAACGCGGTAGGTTCACGTTCAACCATTGGCGGCGTTCAAGGTTGAACGCCACCAGTGTGTGAGAATCGGCCAATATCGGACATTCCGCGCTATCGAAAAGCCGCACTCGTCCACATTTGAACGATCCATACGGTGTTAGAAGCCAACGCCGAAGTAGTCACGACACGAACTTGTCGTACGGCTTCAACGAGGGTAGGCGCCAAGTGCGTCGCGCTCGCCGCCGATCCCCCCCCCTCCTCTTCCTCCCTCTGCTTCTCGCATTCATCCTCTCCTCTTTGCCTCGGGTCCAGCAGGGGCAGGAGTGGAAGAAGTACGTCGCGATGATAAGCTCCCAGGAGGACGTCGTTGGCCAGGCAGCCCGCCGAGCTGGGCCCGGCGATGCCGCCGCCCGCGGCAGCACGCCGAGGGGATGTCGGTCGGGGCGGCGGCAGAGGAGGCAGAGCAGCGCTCGGGCAACGATCGGGTGCCGAGTCAGAGCCCCGTCGGAGGAGGAGAAGGAGGATCGAGGTTCTCCAGGCCTTCCGAGTGTAAGGCCTGAGAAGATGGTATCGCCACGACCCAGGGTCCGATTCCCTTTGTCCCGACGTCGCTGATGTTGCGGCGATGCGGCACGATCGCCAGCCCACATACACTCCGGCTCCATTTAGGCGGCCTCCAGGTTCTTTGACGCGCCTGCGTGTTTTGTTGCCTCGGCGGGCCTCTGGATGGCCTCCAGAGAGGCCTTGGCTTCCCGCGACGGCGCCGGCAAGGGCTCCCGCTCACGCGGCGGAATGCGGGACAGGGGTCACCGATTGGGCTCGGCACCCAGCTGGAGGAGGAGGAAGACGCGGGTCGTGGACCTACTGAGTAAGTCATGAACCACACAGTGTAGTGGAGCAATACGCGAATGTCGCAACACAGTGTGAGAATGTTGGAAAGGAGGCAGCGGCAGCAAGAGTGCAAGCTCAGCCCTCATCAGGCCGCGCCTCAGCTGAGCATCCGTGTTTCGGCTGACCAGGGGCCAGACAAGTCAGGAGCGTGCCGACACGGGGTGCTTACAACAACACGTCGGTCGGATAAGCAATCGGAGTCGCTGTAATGCCAGAGTCGATGTAGTGCTAGAGTCGTGGCATATTGACCCGGCAGATGCCGGGCCCAGGATCGGTATGCATGTCTTATTGGCCAGGTGGGCGTAGGCACCCATACTGGGCTCAGGACTTGCCTTGCCAGGGTCGATGCAGGTGTGTGTGTGTGGCTAGTTTTCCTCCCAGAGGAGGGGGGGTCTAAGTTTTCTGTTGTTGTGTCTTTCCGGGGACCTGATCAGCGGCGTTGGAAGGGGCGCCGCTCACGCTGCGGAGTGCGGTCAGCGCGGCCGGCTGCCGTCTCCAGGAGCTGACATCGGATCAGAGGGGCAAGCTGAACGACGACCAAAAGAAGCAGCTGGGCGAGCTGGAGAAGACGGCCAAGTCCCTGTGAGGGGCACCGGCTCCCCCGCCCTTTTTTCTTCCGTTCTCGTCTCTTCCTCTCGCCCTGCTGCTGCTTCTGTGCTCCTCTGTCTCCCGCGTGCTGCTCCTCCGCCGTCCACTCCGTGTTGCCCCGAGTCGGACGCGAGATCCTCCGCAGCGCTTCTCCATTCGACCCCCAGGTTCTGCACCCTCCGCACGGCCGCTGCTGCCGTTGCCGCCTGCCGCTTGGAGAGTGCGGAAGATAACGGTCGAGGGGATCGACGTCGAAATCCGAACCCTACCCTCGCCGGTCAACGATTCAGGCAATTCGATGGGCGACGAGTGTAGGGTTCGGAATTTCGTCGAACGCGTGGCGAAATCCGAACCTTACCCTCGCCTCCCATCGATTCAGGAGAAGTGATGGTTGGTGGGTGTAGCGTTCGGATGTCGCCACCTGGGGAAGGCGCCACCATCTCTCCGCCCATCTTGGAGATCCAAGTGGACCTCCAGACCTCGTCTGGCGTGGTGGTAGGTTTTGGTGGTGGGTAGGTGGCTAGGTTGGTGGGTGGTGGAGTGGGGTGGGAGGAGTGGGGTGGGAGGAGGGGGGGGGAGGAGGGCAGACCCCCGACATGGTGCTTTTGTTCCATCCTCGGACCCCAGGTGGTCTCGACCCCTGGCCCGAGGCTGCTTTTGCGGCAGCTTCCTCCACTGATCTCCCTTGGGGCCCGAGGCGGCCTCTCCAGGCGCGTCGAGTCCGGCAAAGCGCCCTCCGTCTCGACTGCCTCCCGGCACGCTGGAGGCTGGCTGGGAGAGGGCAGCGGGCGCGGGGCAAGCCCGGAGGCCGCGGGCCTCGCGGGGACGGCACGGCGGGGCACCGCGGGTCGGCTCTGCGGAGGGCGCTCGGGCCGGGGCCGCCCCTTCGCCCGTGCGCCTCGTGTGCGCCGCCGCGCCCCGGGCCTCGGCCAGGGGAGTGGCCGCGCCGCCCTGGGGCCCCGGCTGGGCACGGCGGTGTGGCGGTGTGGTGGTCGGCAGTGTCGGCTAGACGTAGTAAGAGTAACCTTTCGCCGGAGTGCCCTTTGGTGCGGGCCCAGTGGGGTCCCCCGATTGCCGAAAGCGATGCGTAAGTGGCGTCTTGCGCGCTCGTGTTTGGTCCTCCCGCGGCCTCCCAAAAGCTGCGCACCAAAGGTCACTCTTACCCAGGGTCAGTCTTGCGAGTAGTCGAGGCAGGCAGATCCCGGGGGCCTTGTAGAGCTTCGCAGCTCCGTCTTTGGAGTGCGCGAGCGCCGACCGGCGTCTGGCAGCCGATGAGGCAGCGCCGATTGAGCGTCGGCCAGCGTCGGCCAGCGTCCATTCGCGGGGGCCAACATGATGCTATGGGAGGCTCCCACGGGTTGCCGCAGAACGGTGGTGGTGCTGTGTGCAGTCGGGAACTGCTCAGCGTGGCGCGCCGCCGGTTTCGGCACACCACGTCTCGGCGCGACGCGCTGGCTGTGTCCCAGCCTCCAAGCGTCGACGTCTCGAGGTCTTTCTGGCCTCCCGCCCCGCGAAGCTCAGCGACACGCCATCCGCTTGCAGGGTATGCCGTGTCGCCGGGGCCGCCGTCGCGACACGCTAAGCAAAAGTACCTGACCGTAGGTGTCCCCTGCGGATCAAAGAGTGCATCCGCCTTGTCTTGTTCAAGTCGGGGCCCCCTGAAGTCCTGACACCTTCCCCAGGGATAGGTTTTCATCCCGAGTCGTTCTTTGACGGTCCCAGGGCCTGGCGAGGGCCCCCCGAGACCGACAACTAGTGAAAATGTTCCTTCGTATTTTTTTTCGCGACGCGAGCGTGTTGGGATAGATAGATACCCCCTGCGGATCCAGAGGGCGCTTCCGCCTCTGTTTCCTCGGGGCGATTCGCTTGTGCGCCGGACGCGCCTTCGGGCCTCCACGGGGCCTCTCCGCCCGCTGCCCCGCCGGCGCGGCGCTAAGGAGGAAAAGGAGGATCGTCGTTGTCCTCTTCCTCCTCCCCCCCGATCCTCCGGCACGCCCCTCTCCTCCTCTCCGACCCGCCTCCGTGTTTCTCCTCCCTCTCCTCCTCGATCCTCCATCCTGCTCGATCTGCCTCCTCGCTCCTCCCTGCTCGCGGATTCGAGGGCGCCTCCGCCCCCCGTCTCTTCGGGGCGGGGCCCGCCCGTGCTCCCGGGCCAGCCTGCTGGCCTCCACCGCGGGCAGGATTCGTATCCACATCCACCGCGTCTTGGAGCTTCGGGCTCCCCTCCCCCGAAACCAGAGGCGCAGTGGACATGGGTAAAGAATCGCCCCGTCGAGGCTAGATGTTTATCCACATCCGCTGCGCCTCGTCCTTTGGCTGGCGCCCCTTCCCGGAAAGTCCAGGGCTGGATACGGATCGCGTCCACCGGGCCTCTCCGCGCGCGCTGCCCCGCCGGCGCGGCGCGAGTTTTCCTCCTGTCGCCACCGCCTTGCGGCATTAAAGAGGTGGCGGCGCGGGCTGCGCGGGCTGCGCAGGCTGCGGGGGAGGGGATGGGGAGGGGAGGGAGGGGAGGGGAGGGAGGGGAGGGGAGGGGAGGGAGGGGAGAGAGGGGAGGGGATGGGGGAGGGGAGGGAGCGGGAGGCGGAGCGGAGCGGGAGGGCGTAGGTGGTGGTGGTGGTGGTGGTGGTGGTGGTGGTGGTGGTGGTGGTGGTGGTGGTGGTGCTGGTGGTGGTGGTGTTGGTACTGGTGCTGGTGCTGGTGCTGGGTGGTGGTGGTGGTGGTGGTGGTGGTGGTGGTGGTGGTGGTGGTGGTGGTGGCGGTGCGGCGCGGTGGTGGCGGGCGGATGGGCGCGCGAGAAAAAGGCCCGCGCTGGGGCGAGAACGCCATCCTGAACGACGGAGGCCAAACACCGATCCGAAAATGAGGCCCACGCTGCAGCGGGAGCACGATTCGGAACGATTCGGGAGCAGAAATGAGGCCGGCGCCTCAACGAGAGCAGCATTTTGGGAAAAAATGACGCCGGCGCCTCAGCGAGAGTCGTTTCCCGGGATTTCCCGGGAATCCTGTGTGTAAAAAACAGTACGCGGAGGGTGCGCGGCCATCACCCGGACGCCATCAGGGGAAGAGGGAGAGTATTTTCATATTGAGTAATTGTGGAGGGAGGGAGGGAGGGGAGGGAGGGGAGGGGCGGGGAGGGGAGGGAGGGATGGAAGGGGAGGGAGGGAAGGGGAGGGGAGGGAGTGGATGGGGAGGGGAGGTGTGGGCACAGCCCGCCTGCAGCCGGGGCGCTTCCGAGGCCAGCCTCACGCCCTGGAGGGGGCGTCAGATTCAGAAGACGCGGCCCCGAGTGCGTCGGCCCTGGCACGTGCAGCCTCGAGGGCACAGTGTGAGGAGACCACTCGACCGAAAACCGTATCCCCCCCCTGTCCAGATGGAGCCATTTCTTTCCTTGTGTGGGGCATTCGAGTACGCTGGGGGGGGGGGAGCGAACTCGTTTGTGGAATCTTCCCACCCACCTCCCCCCCTCTCGCTTCAAACGCACCCTAGCGAGGGGCGGCCGCATTTGGGGGGCGCGCCGTGCCCCCCCCCCCCCTTTGCCTGCCCTCGCGCCCGAGGAGGAGAAGGGCCGCACCGCAGGGGGGCGCGCCTGGGAGCGCGCTGGAAGCGCCCAGGGTCGCAGGAGGGCGCCTGGGAGGCCGGCGCCTGGGCCAGCCCATGGGGGCCACGCTTCGAGATGAACTTGGCCGACAGCCATGATGGCGGATGGCGAGGCTCCAGCCCACAGAAAAGAAACTGACGTCTCCAGTCTGCGTAGCAGGTGTGGGCAAACGCGCACAGGTACCAGCCTACACTTCATGCGTGCTCCTGCAGTGGAGGGCAATGGTTTCAATCTCCCTGCCGCTTGTGGCTTGCAACGCATGCAGTCCTCAACAACGGGGTTTTGGAGACAAGCGTATCGTATAAACGCGTGGCGTTTCCCTGTCCTCGAGTCTACGGAATGAATTTGAGCCCAGACACCATCCACTTCGTCATAGACTCAGATCCAAGTGGACACATACGCATACCTGTCGGTCCTTTTGACCACCTCCAACCACCGACAGGGGACTACCACCCAAGCAGCTCACACTACTAGCAATGGGCAACGAACACCAGGACAACGACACCAACGACGCCCGCGAGTTGAAACAACTCAAAATTCAGCTTCTCAGCCCCAACTCACAAGCACCAGTGCGGGACACACCTCATGCAGCAGGCTACGACCGAGCCGCCTGCACGGACGTCAGTGTTGCGACTCGTGGTCGCGAGCTGGTGTCTACGGTTGTGGCCGCTCTTGCATCGCCGGGCACTTACCTGCGGATAGCCCCGCAGTCATGAGTGGCCCTCCAAGGGCATCGACATCGCAGTGGTGGATCCCGACTATAGCGGCGAGATCATGGTGATCATGCGCAACACCAGCCCGCGGACGTCCGTGGTCGATCAGGGCCAACGAATCGTTCCATTCATCTTGGAACGCGTCATGATTGATTCAGTGGTCGTTATCAACCTTCCTCCCGCGGTCCTGGGGGGTACGGACACACTGACAAGACGACACGCAGCCAAGATTCCACCATGAGAAATTCCGCGGTGCATTTCCCACCATCGAAAACGTCATCCCAAGGAGACAGCACAGTTTCCCAGGGGTCTGTCGGCAGCTATGTTGCCGAGGACCCCACGCAGCAGCGCCGCTTGGAGGGGAACGGTCTGCCCGCCAGGCTGGCCCAGCCGACCAGGCCGTCCCGTCTGGGCCCTGGAGAAAGGAAGGGGCACATTTCTAGCAGTACGAGAGGACGATTACGACGTTACGTATTGCGTCCTACGTGAGTGCCATCAGGTCCTTGTCTGAAAACACATCTCCCCGCCAAAGATATTGTCTGAACATCGGCCGCTCTGCGGTTGATCGGGAGTTTCTGTATATAGAAGAGGGGACGCGCGCTCCTGGGCGAGAGGGAAATGAACGAGAGGAAAATGAGTGTGAGGATCAGGGGGGCGAGGCTCGCGAGGGGGCGCCCCTCCTCCCCTTCCTCTCCCAGCTCTCCTCCTCTTCGTCCTCCTCCTCCTCCCCCTCCCCTCCCGCTTCCTCCTCCCCCACCCCCTCCCCCTCCTCCTCCTCCTCCTCCCTCCTCCTCCTCCTCCTCCTCCTCCTCCTCCTTTTCCTCCTCCTCCTCCTCCTCCTCCTCCTCCTCCTCCTCCTCCTCGTCCTTCTCCTCCTCCTCCTCTTCCGTCCTCTCCGCCCCCCCCCGCCCCAGAGGCCGAGGGGGAGAGAGAGGCCTTTGAAGGCCTCCTCGGGGAGGCTCCGGAAGGCCGGTTTTGTGAGGATGTCCCACGCGAGGGCGCCGGTTCGGCAGTCGTCGCCGGATCGCGCCAGAAATAGAACAATGGGGGCCTCGGAAGGCCTCCTCGGGGAGGCTCCAGGGGCCGGTTTTGTGAGGATGTCCCACGCGAGGGCGCCAGTTTGGCAGCCGTCGCCGGATCGCGCCGGAAATGGAACAGGGGGGGCCTCGGAAGGCCTCCTCGGGGAGGCTCTGGGGGCCGGTTTTGTGAGGATATCCCACGCGAGGGCGCCAGTTTGGCAGTCGTCGCCGGATCGCGCCGGAAATAGAACAGGGGGGGCCTCGGAAGGCCTCCTCGCGGAGGCTGCGGGTGCAGGTTTTGTGAGGATGTCCTACGTGAGGGCGCCGGTATCAGTCGTCGCCGGATCGTGGCAGACATGGAACAGGGGGCGCCTCGGAAGGCCTCCTCGGGGAGGCTCCAGGGGCCGGTTTTGTGAGGATGTCCCACGCGAGGGCGCCGGTTTGGCAGTCGTCGCCGGATCGCGCCGGAAATGGAACAGGGGGGGCCTCGGACGGCGTCTCGGTTTCTGAACGCTCCCGTCGTTTATGTGTTGTCTTGAGACCGATCGTTTTGAACGGCTTCGCTGAGCATCCCTGACTCCTGGGCAGGGGGAGCGCGATCGGTTTCGGAAGCTTCGAAAACAGTAGCGTGATCGCCCTCCGTCGCCGCCTCATGCTCTGTATCAATGGCCACCAAACATTGCTGTTTTCTATAAATTCTATAACATCCGAAAGCGAAGGGCCAAAACACACCCGAAACGAAGCTCCCGCCTGAGAGGCCCCCCCCCCCCCAAAAAAAACACTCAAAACGAGGCTCCCGCCTGAGAGGCCCCAACAAACCCAAAGAAATCCAAGAGCCACCCCTCTCATCCATGTAATTGCCACAAAAAAATCCAAAGGAGAACTCCTCATCCACCCCGCTTCCTCCTCTTCTTACCCGTCAAACAACACACTCAAAACGAGGCTCCCGCTTGAAGGGTTCCAAAAAAACATACCCAAAAGGAAGCTCTCTCTTGAGAGGTCCCAAAAAACAAAACGAGGCTCCCGCCAGAGAGGTCCCCCAAAAAACCACAGAAATCCAAGAGCCACCCCTCTCATCCCTGTAACTGTCCCCGAAAAACTTTATACATAATAATAAAAAATAGTTCCAGAGGAGAACTCCTCCTCATCTTCCAGAGGGCCGGTAAGAAGAGGAGGAAGCGGGGAGGGGGGAGGAGCTCTCCTCTGAAGCTTTGTTTTTTTTTGGGGGGGGGGGACAGTTACAGGGATGAACGGGGGGGCTCTTGGATTTCTTTGGGTTTTTTGGGGGCCTCTCTGCGGGAGCCTCGTTTTGAGTGTTTTTTTGGGGACCTCTCAGGCGGGAACATCGTTTTGGGACCTCTCAGGCGGGAGCGCCGTCACGTGGGAGGTTCATGCTTTCCTCCTTCCTTTCCCCTTCTCCCTTTCTTTCCTTCCTCCTCCCTCACCCTCCTCCTCGCTCTCTCTCTCTCTCTCTCTCTATCCCTCTCTCCCCCCCTCTCTCTCTCTCTCTCTCTCCCTCTCTCTCTCTCTCTATTTCTCTCTCTCTCTCTCATTATCTCGTTTCCTCTCTCCCTCTCTATGTCGGAAGCGCAATACTTCTTCACTGTTGGAACGCAGTGCTCTGGATCCATCGAAGCGCAATGCTTCGTCCTCGTCGGAAGCGCAATGTTTCCTTCTCGTCGGAAACGCAATGTTTCCTGCTCGTCGGAAGCGCAATGCTTCCTCCTCGTCGGAAGCGCAATGTTTCCTCCTCGTCGGAGAAACGCCTTGGATCCGTCGAAGCGCAAGGCTTCGTGCTTGTCGAAAGCGCAATGTTTCCTATTCGTCGGAAGCGCAATGTTTCCTGTGTGTCGGAAGCGCAATGTTTCCTCTCTGTCGGAAGCGCAATGCTTCCTCCTCGTCAGAAGCGCAATGCTTCACGTTTGGTGGAACGCAGTGTTCTGGATTCACCGAAGCGCAATGCTTCGTCCTCGTCGGAAGCGCAATGTTTCCTCCTCGTCGGTAGCGCAACGTTTCCTCCTCTGTCGGAAGCGCAATGTTTCCTCCTCGTCGGAACGCAATGCTCTGGACCCCTCGAAGCGCAAGGCTTCGTGCTTGTCGGAAGCGCAGTGTTTCCTCCCCCTCCCTTCCATTCCCAGGCATGAAGGTCGGTGCG